ATCTCGGGCAAATCACCCCTCTGCACCTCAATTTTCCCATCTATAAAATGGAATCACTATCATAATGATTTCCACCACGGAGAGCAGCTGTGAGGATAAGATCAGATAAGGTATAAGACAGGACCCAGCACCTGGCAGATGCTCAGCCACGTTCCTGCTTTCCTCTCCTCTTGCCTTGCATGGTCACTAGGAGGGGTTCCCACAGCAAATATTGTCTTGGGGGAGTCGGATCACCATCCCAGCGGACCAGAACGCAGAGGCACAGGCAGCGCCAGGACATCACTTCTGCTCTGATTATAACAAGGTTTTACCTGCCTCCTGGAGATGTGGTTAGTAGGAAATTGTTACATTACCACAAACTGTTCCTGTTTCCAAACCAACCTTTACACGAAAGGGATTAAGGATTTCATGGTGGTGTTTATCTAGCTAACATATCTTTTGTAATATCTTTTGTAACCGTTTACAGGAAAAAAAAAACAAATGCAGTTTAGCAAGCTTGGGAATTCCCAATGGGGCCACGAGCGAGGGTAATATGAAATGATTTGATTAGAGTCTGGAAATGAGAATCTTTCCTTTCTAAAACTTGGCTGGGACTTGGTGGGGGGTGGGTGGCAGGGTAGAGGGGTGGGGTTATGCATGTGTGTGCACATGTTTTTCAGGGTGGAGCCCAAGACCCCAAAGGAAAGCTGGGCCCCAGGAAGGAGACCTCTCTTTTCCTTGGCTGCAAGGTAGCCTGAGGAGCTTCTGGCCACCGGGAGGGAGAAAGGGGTGTAAGGATGTTGGGACTGTCACCGCCCCTGACAGATGGAGCCCCCACTACCCCCCTGCAAGGAGGTCACAACTGATGGGTGGAGCCACACCGATAAGGGGGTTAAACCATCCGCCCACGCAGCTCAGCGGGGGCTCAAGAGGAAAGGCAGGTGGCATCTGCGGGGGTCCACACAGCAGGACTTTGTCATCACTCCGTCACAAACCTCCCTACGTTTCCGTGGGCATGTTATTTCTCACGTGGTATGGAGAGAGCCAGCCATCTCCCCAGTGCATATTTATTAGGTATCTATCACGTGCTTGGCACTAAATGATGAGAAAACCACTGTCCAAAGAGAGGACGGGGTTTTGCCCACATCTTAAGGGAGGGACATGGCTCTGGGAGAAGGTGGGGATCCAAGGAGCCAGCAGTTTGCCTTCTTTTTCTGGAGCTTCAGTTGCTCAGTTTGTAAAGGGAGGTGGTTAGACCTGACCTCACAGATTAAGTCCCAAAGTTAGGGGCAGGTGGTTGATCTGCTGTTCCACCCCTTCCTGAATGTATGCCCTGGGGCAGGTCATGACGCCAGGCCTCAGTCTCCTTGCCTGTGAATTGGGAAAATGCCAGCACCCATTTCACGGTTGTTACTATGAAGATCAAACAGGATGGTGTGTTTCCTACGGAGCTTCGTGGGTTTCTGGCACACAGTAGGTGCTTAGTAATTCATTATTCTGCAGAACCTCAACAAGAGGACTTTCCTTCCAGCCCCGAGCCAAAGGGAAACCGGAAACCTGCGTCCAAGTGAGCTGTTGCTGTTGTCCTCAGGGTCAGGGCTGCCCCTGGCCCCGGCCCCAGGCCGTAGCGTCGCAGGCAGGGAGGCTGCTGCCAATTCGCTGTCTAGGCCCAGCCACTGACTCTGAGACAGCTCCCCCGGGGGGGCAGGGCAGCCTCCAGCTGCTGTCCCCCCCCTCCCTCCCCGCACACAGCCATTGATAGCTAACGGCCAAAGGCGGCCCTTGGGATGGAGGGCTGTGTGGAGGGCTGCCTGGGGGCTGGAACCAGGCTGGATCAGCAGCGTGAGTGGTCCTTGGAGCCATTCCCTGGAGATGTGAGAGAGGGAATGAGAAGCCCATAAACTTCTCCTAGGCTATTATTCAGGGAGAAAAATGGGAGTGGTTGGAAGGGGCCGGGGAGGCGCTGCATGATCATAAAAGCTCCCCTCCATGAGAAAGCACTCCATCCCAGGCCTGGCCAAACACCTTTTCTAGAAGAAAGCGCAGAATCCTCCCAATGACCTGTGAATTGGGTTCGCTCATTGCTCCATTTCACAGATGCAGAAAGTGAAGCACCGAGAGGGACAGTGACTTGTCCAGGGTCACACAGCTCGCGGTGGTAGAGCAACTTACTCTGTTCCAGCCCTCATGCTCTCCGGCAGCAGCGCACGGAAAGTGTGTGTGTCATGATACTGTCTGGGTGGGACAGCCTCAGGTTGGAGTGCCACATTACCCACAACTAGCTGTGTCATCATGTAAAGCCAGTTAATCATGTGGAACCTTGGTTTCCTCAATCCGCCAAACGGGCACAGGTAGTGAAGGGTTAAGAAACCACCAGCTGCAATTATCCTTATTACTGCTCTGCCTTCCAGACATGCCAGGTATTAGACACAAGAAAGCACCAGATCCGTGCAAACAGAAAAAGACAGGACACCCAGGCAACTCTGGATCTGGTGCTGATACAGGACTGCTTCTCCTTGCTCCACTGGCCTGCCCCTGCCAGCTGGTCTGGGAACTGGGTAGGCATGGACAGTCCCCCCTCCTTACCCCCCACTGGTAAGCCTACTGCCTGCCCTGCTCTGTTTCTGGAAGCAACAGCTTGCATGGAGCCCCATCCAGTTTGTGGGCTGGGCTGGCCAGGCCCCTGCGGCTTGGAGCTGGTGGGGGCTCCTGCCAGGCAGTGCCTGGGAATCTGCATTCAGGGACCTCCCCCACCCACCATGTTCCTCCAGAGCCCCCACCCCGAAGGCCCTCCATAGACCCCATCTCTCACAGAAAGCTGGACCCCTTAATGGAACTAAGTAGTCAGAACAGCAGCTACCGGGTTTGTGTCTCTTGCTCTAGAAAACCAACTCCGTCCTTCTGGCAGCTGCATGAGGGATGTGCCCTAATCGTGCTCACTTGATAGATAAGGAAACTAAAGCAAGTCACGTGACTTGTCCAAAGCTAGATTCTGACCTTGCACACATCTGACTCAGTGCAGCCGTGGCTCTCACCACCTGATTCCCTGACTCTGGTGCTTTTACAGCGCGCTTTAGGCAACAGTCAGACTCTGTGGTTCTGAGCTCTTCCAGCTGGCCCATGGGAAAACACTGGCTCTCCCCTGGGGCTTCCAGCTAAGAGGACAGAGGGAGATTCACCCCCACACATTGAGTGCCTCCTGGGTGCCAGACACTTTCATAGATATTGCATTTAAAAATGGGGAGATGGCAGCAGCCCAGGGGGCTCAGCGGTTTAGCGTCACCTTCGGCCCAAGGCCTGATCCTGGAGACCCCGGATCAAGTCCCACGTCGGGACTCCATGGAGCCTGCTTCTCCTTCTGCCTGTGTCTCTGCCTCCGCCACCACCACCCCCCCCCCCGCCACCGTCTCATGAGTAAACAAATAAACTCTTAAAAAAAAAAAAAAACGGGGAGAGGTAGCTTGTATTATTCCTGCTCTACAAATAACTAAAAGTTCGGAAGTGAAATTGCCCAGAATCATGCAACTGGCAAGTGGCCGAGCTGGGAATTGTTATTTAATCTTTATAATAACAACTCCATCAATGGGTACTATTTCTATTCCCATTTTATCGATGAGGACACTCAGACTGTTCCACACTGCCAGAGGAGCTGGGACCATAAATGGTTTTATAGCCCAAGCTTCTAACGCCTTCATGCTGCCCCCACTCCACCTGTCATTATTTCGGGAGTAGAAGGAAGCCCAGAGGTGCTTGGCTGGATGATCTTGGTTAAAGAGTTCATTTCATTGCTTGGTTCTTCACCTGTACAGTGGAGGTTCATCAGAGCAGCCTCCCAAGCTGGGTATACAGTAGATGCTTGCACACGGGCACATGCCTGGCTCACATCTGGGGTCCCAGATCTATACACGGCCAGCTCGCAGCAAATATCTGTTTGAATTTGTGTCTTCATTTGGATCTCAGAAGGCAGCCTCCAGGCCCACAGCCCTCAGCCAGCAACCTCCCTCTAATTGGGGGCTGCAGTCCACCCCAGAAGGCACTGCTGGTTGAGTGGTAGTGGCCCCAGGAGGCCAGACAGCCCCTGGGTAAACAGGGCTGATCCGAGGTGACAGCCTGCTCTTCCCAGGCCAGCCCCTGTCCTGTCTCCACTCCATAATCTGAGCTGTGCCCCCTCAACCCATGGACACGATGCTTGCCTTGACGGGTAGGGCACTGGGAACCAGGTCAGGCCTCTGGGGCTCAAGTAAGAGGGGTTAGGAGGGGACTCCAGATCATTCCTTTTTCTCCTCCTCCCTCGCTTTGCTGTGTGACCTTGGACAGCCCTTCTCCCTTCTTGGCCTCAGTTTCCCCAATTGTAAAAGCAAGTGACTGGACTGGTTGACCCCCTAGAGGCCATTCCAGCTCTACAGATTGGAGGATTCTGTGGGGCTTCCCCCACCATCTGTATCTCACTTCATCCTGTCTCAAGAAATCATTTATTTTGGCCTCAGACTCCACCAAATTTATTCCTCAAATATATAGACCCAGGAGAGACCTTAATTCAAGAGCGTTACTTAACTGACAAGTAAATGAGGCCCAGAGAGGGCAAGGGACTTGCTGAAAGTCATACAGCCAGGCTAAGAATTCAGAAGTCACCACTCACAACTTTTCCAGCATCCCATGAGGATGGAAGCCAATTCCCCCCACCCCCACCCCCCCCAAAGGTTTTGGGGGGCATTTCCTGGAGCCCTGTTAGGGGAAGCAATAGCTGCCATTGTCATCTTAACATTCACCAGGATTCCCGTCTCTCACCCAGGAGGGGACCTCTCTTGGAGGAGACAAAAGACTAGGGTTTTAGTGATCCCATGGCCTCAGGCCTCGAGCCTAGACACTCTCAGAGAGGCGAACTTTGAAATTGAGATCTCCCTCTTTTGCAAAGTCACAGAATTTAATATAACAATACTTCTCTGGCAGAGACTATAAACAGCACATAAACACTTTAAACAATTTCAAAAAGTATCATTTGTCATTGCTGACACCCTCACCTGTACTCCTGCGGAGAGGGGTGGTGATTTTGCCCTGAGTTTCGAATAATTCCTGACATCATGGATGAGATGTCACTTTCTATCATCTCCTTGGGGGAAAGACAAGCAGAAAACAAAGCTCCCATCAGTGACGATGTGGACAGGGCAGAAACCCGGTTTTCCCACAATTCAAAAGGATGGAGCTCAAACAAGTAGCAGAACACTTCAAAAAAAAAAAAAAAAGAAAGAAAGAAAGAAAAGAAAGAAAAGAAAAAAGAAAAAGAAAGTACTAAAGGATTTCTGGGTATCACAGGTCACTTTCCCAGGGCAATTCTACGGGGTTTCAGAAGCAATGAAGAAAATGAAATTGCAGGTTCTTTCGAATTAATGAGGGAAAGGTGGAGGAAGGCTCTAGAATCCAAATGTCAAGTCTTGGAAAATGTGGACTTGCAAAATAGGAATCAGAAAAAACGGATTCCCTTCCCAGCCTATTTTCAACCGCAACTCAGTTACGATCACTTTGGGGGGAAAATTTTTTTTTTTTTTAAAGGACAGCTTGATGTGTCACGTATGTTTCTCTGGAGGAGCCAAATTCCCACTTGCAAAAGGAATAGTCCCCGCAGGGCTCCCGCCCTGGAAATGCCTACAGAAACGCCACATGCCCTGGCTGGAAAACCAATCCCACCCCCTCGCCACACACAAACGCAGCCTAAAAAAGACAAAACATAACAAAACTTCCCTAAGCTTCTCAAACTTCAACCCTGCAACGAACACGGAAACCCACCGAAGACTCTCAGTTCCGCCCCAAAAGTCATCAGGGGTCCCCGGGAGGGAGGCGGCCCCGCGGCCCCGCGCCCGGGTCTCACCCTGGAGACGCGCTGCTGCCCGCCGCGGGGGAGGGGGCGAAGCCGGCCCTGCTCGGCGGTACCTGGAGCCGATCCTCGCCGGCCGCGGCTGCGGGCGCTCCTGGGCGGGCGGGGGCTTCGGAGGGGGCTCCCTCGCGCTCGCCCCTCGCGGTCCGCAATTTGGCCGCCGTCGCGGCTCGAACCGTTTTTAAATTTCCCTCTCTGGAGCTGTCCAGCTCAGAGCATGCGCAGTAGCCGTGCAGGGGCTTTTTTTTTTTCCCCCCCAAGGGTCAGTTACAGGGCAGGGTCAAGGGGATTGCAGCGGGTGTTTCCCAGCAGCCGCGAGCCTTGCACGCCCCGGGGCTCCGGGGGGGGGCGGGGCGGGGCGCCGGGGTGGGGACACCCCTCCTCAAATTTTGCCCGCAGTGGCAGCAACTGCGTGCCCGCGAGCATGCGTTGAGGAGCGGTGGGAGGGTGATACAGGCCGAAAGAATTAAGTTGCCCAAGGATGCGGGGCGCGTTAAAACTCGCAATCCGGCACTTCCCCGGGGTGGGGCGGGGGCGGGGGCGGGGGGGGCAAGGAGATGGGTGGCCGGAGAGCTCTGCCGCGACCTCCCCCTCCCCTAAGCGCGGGCCGGGCGGGAGGCCGAGTCCGGGCCCCAGGTAGACGCGGATTCCGGCCACCTGTCCCTTTAAGAAAGTTGCGCCGGGGCTGGCGCGCGGCGGGCGGGGAGCGCGGGCGGGGAGCGCGGGCCGGGAGCCTGCACCTGCCGGCACCGCGAGGGGGCGGAGTTGGGGGCGCGGGTCCGCGCGCCGCTGCGCCCGCAGCCCCGGGGGCCCGCGTGGACACGGAGTCCGCCCGGGGCGTGCGCGGCTGGGCGCTGCGGCCCGGGGAGGCGGGGAGGCGCGGAGGCGCCCGGCCGTTGGGGGCCGCGGAGCCCGCCGGTGCGCCCGCGCTCCCGCCTTCCCCGCCGCCGGGCCCGCGCCTCCCGCCCCCCGCCCCGCCCCGCCCCGCCCGGCGCCCGCCGCGGGAAAGGTGGCGCGGACCGCGGGCCGCGGGCGAGCGGGCGGGGCGGGGCGAGCGGACAGAGGTCCCGCAGCCCACTTCCAGGGGCCGGGGCCGGGCTGATCCCCGGGACCGTCCGCGGCTCCCGCGCCCTCACTCTCCAGCCCCCGTCGGAATCATTTGCCATAGTGACTGCCGGCAATGATCATCGTCACCCTTGATTTTTTTTTCCTTATGTATTTCTGCCGCCTCGTTTATTCTGCACGCCAGCCCCTGGGGAGACAGGATGGTCCCCGTTGTGCCGTCGGCGAACCCGAAGCTCTGAGCGGTCCCGGGTGGGCCGGGGAGGGGGGGGCGCGGCCCGTAAGTGGCAGAGTCGGGATTCGAACCCAGAGCGATGCACCTGCCGGTGGACCGGGCTCAGGTCTGCGCCGCCCTGGCCGGACCAGGCCGGGCATCCACTGCGTCTTGAATTTCTTGCGGCTGCCCTCGCGTTACGGATCCCGTGTCCCGGATCCCGTGTCCCTACCCCGCAGCGGGCAGGGGAGCAGCCTCTCCACCCCTGTGGCTGGGAAGCCCTTCCTCGGCCGTGCTCGCGTCCAGGAAGGAGCCAGGGCTGCTGGGGCTGGATGTACCTGGATTTCATTTCTCATTCAGGTGGGCTGTGACCTTGGCGCTGGTCCATGTCCTCCTGAATGGTTTTCTTTTAGCACCCGGGCACCCTCACTCCTTTCTTCTCTGCCAAGAGTAAATAGATCAGCTTGCATTCTCTAGGGAGAAAAGTGGAGTTCACAGATGTTAGTTAAGGTCACAGTCGTGAAACTCTGTTTTCATTTCTCTCCCACCCAGGTAGATTCCAATTTTGCATTTTGCTTGCTTATAAAAGTCGTCTACATCGCTTTGAGGAGCCCTTAGAGACCTATAAATCGTGACCGATAATGAATTTGAAGGTTAAGTTGTAAGAATTCAAAGCATTTGAGTTTCTTTCTGTTAATCCTTAATGGAGTTATGTGTAAACCGAGGTGACTTCACCACCTCCTCTTGAGATAACAGCCCTTTTCACTAAGGCATAATTTTATATATCTTTAGAGAAGTTTGGAAAGTCTTCTGAAAGTTGATGGATTCAGTAAACTGCTTTTTAAATAAAAGGCATCCAGTCTGTGGGTTCTATAGACTCACACGCTATGGAAAAGACAAGCAGGGACCCTTCTTTAAAAGACCAAAAACTAAAGATTCAGGGTGCTCTGAGCAGTCCTCAAAACTCTCCTTTTCCTTCGAGAACCTGGCTTCTCTGCATGGACATGTAGCTGGGAACTGTGGCCATTTTACTAAAGAACTGACAGTTTGAGTTCTTAGCTTCAGGAATGGTTGGTGAAAATATTGCCAAAAAACCTGTTGCGGGTATGCAGAAAAAAAACCCAGATAACTTAGCAGAAACCCTCCTTTTGTTACATTAATGCATTTTCCCCTTTTATAAAAGCATATGGTATTTCTCAAGCCTGTTGACTTATAAGATTCACCTGGAGTGAAATTAAAACCATAAAAGGGAAGAGCGGGGAAATCCTTATTTAACAAGTATCCCACGTGATTCTTTGATGAAGTAAGTGTGGGCACCTGTAGTAGGTGATAGGCCAGTCAATGCCTTTCTTTCAATGAAAGAGCATGAAGTTCACCTGTGTCCATGGTGTTTGGGCTCCTTATCATTTGCTTCTGTGGGGGGAGAGTCTTAGATCAATCCTGACTTTGAAAACATACCTGCTTCCCTGCTAGGAGATTTCTAAAAGCCTCAACAGGGCCCCATTTCGCCAGACCTCTGATTTTTGCAGAAAAATCTGCAGGAGGGAACAGAAGCAACAGGCATCTGGCTTTTCTGCTTATTCTCTGGGTTGATGTACTGGAAAATGTTCTCATCTGGGCCTGTGTTTGAGAAGTTTTGATAGTTGAGCAGTAGAGTCGTTTGCCCAATCTGTTCGGAGCTGGGGTGCCTATGGCTGTGTGCAAAATATTTGTTTATGACGTTAATGACACGATTAAAACCACCTCGCTCATATCTGGGAAGACCAGTTCCTCCATGCAGTAAGTAGAGTGTTTGTATTGAAGGATTAAAAACTATTAATTCACTTAGCAAGTTTCAAGCAGCTTTTGTTTGCTCAAGCAGCCTAATTTTTATTACGGGCCATGACCATTTCTTCTTTAATCCCTAAGTTTTTGACTTTCATTTTGCTTATTGTTCTGAGTTTCTGAGGGTAGGGAGGGAAAGGCAGCACGGTCAAGATTACATGACTTGTAGTAATAATCAGCTCTCTTTCTTCCACTGTACCCTGGCTGGTACAGCAAACCACAAAGCCTATCTATGAAGCAGAAATCTCAAGGTGGTTGTGTTGGTTTTTTTTTTTTCTTATAAATGATTTCAACAAATCCTTGAAGCCACAGCATTCTGTGCTGTGTCTGGCACATAGTAGACACGCTGGAGGCTTTAAAAAGTGTTTCTCTTGTCCATTGCTAAAGACTAGTTAGGTGGCATTTCTTAGCAGAAAGTTCTCAGCAGGGAACACCTGGGTGGCTCAATGGTTGAGTGTCTAGACGCCTTTGGCTCAGGGTGTGATCCCGGGGTCCTGGGATGGAGTCCTGCATGGGGCTCCCTGCAGAGACCCTGCCTTTCCCTCTGCCTGTGTCTCTGCCTCTCTGTTTGTCTCTCATGAATAAATAAATAAAATCTTTAAAAAAAGTTCTCAACAGGAGACATACACAGTCTTTACTCATGCCGCTCTTAAAAGTAACTTGTAAATCTGATTTCCTAAGAGGTAGATTCCCTAGCACGGTTGAATGTCTGAACACAGCTTTCGAAGATGGAAGCGCAGAATTTGTTGTTTTTCTGTGGGAGACCATGAAAATACACTGATCGTTGATCTCTTTTGCTCGGGTTAGCATGACTGATATGTGTATTATGGTTCTCTTTGGGAGCGCATTTGTCGAGGAACTGCCACTTATAATTGTTGTCCTACATCTTATTTAATAAAAGGACGTTAAACTCTCCGGTGTTTCCAGGAAGGGAGTACTATGATGTTTTTGTATCTCTGTGATCCCCTGCCCAGACCTAGTTCCACCACTGCCCTGTCCTACTCTTCAGAAAGGTGGTTAGCAACTTAAAAAAAAAAAAAAAGAAAATCAGTCCATCAGTGTGACCAGCAGATGTGCACTGAGCAAGTTCTAGGAGCCTTCCTCAATGTTTTCTTGGTCCTTTTTGCAATGTCATTTTGTTGGTGGTGGTAATATATCTAGGCATTCCGTTCTGAAAAAGGT